GATACAGCCATGTATGGTCCTAGTCCTTGTGAAACTTTCACTAGTGAGGATAGGCAAGGAAATACCTAGAAGTAATAGGTTCGTAAAGGCACATATGTGTCACCCAAATTTATAGCAAGGGCACCCAAGGGCATCAGGAAATGTATCACACACAAGGTAATATCTAAATGAGCCCCTTTAGGCAATATGTGGACTTGCCAGTTAATGAATGAGGAGATAGAATTCCAGGAAGAAAGAGCTCATGTGTGTCAGAAAGTCTAGGGCAACCCAAATAAGTATGGCTCAAAGGAGTAGAAAAAATCTCTTTCTCAGGAATTAGAGAGAAAGTATGTGTGTGTCTTTATGCAGGAAATATTGCAAGGGTGAGCACAGGTTGTTTGGAAACAATGTAAAAGATTTTCTTAATCATGCAAGGATTTTCCTATTTTCTGATAATAACAATGGGGAAGTTCCAGTAGATTTTGAATGAGGAACAAGTACATACTTTGGTTTCTAAAAGTTTTTGTAGTATTTTGCTAAAACTGAAGACTTTCTAGCATTAATGTTTATGATGTATGCAGTATGAATATTATTATGGCTTGTGCCTTGGTAAACAACTTCTTGGATTAAGCGGCATTTAACTGGCATTTCCCGTTCCTTTGTAAAATACATAGATTGACATTTAAAGCCCACATAATTAGCAGGATACGTTTTCCTGACTGTCCACCTGGTTTTATACACACCAGCTGGTTTATGCATGTGCCAAAAGCCAGTTATATTTGTTCACAAGCTTCCGTTTTTGCTAGCTTAATGTGTTTATAATGAATGGATAGAATATAAGCTTGAAGGAAGTAACAATAAATGTGTGGAAAAATTGAAAAAATGTGCTTAACACTCAGTTTACTTGTCAAGGGTCTTTAAGAATTCCCACAACTTAAACCAAAACGGTAAATTGTGAGGGTGAATTATTGTTGCTGTTCATTACTTCACACATGAAGATGTACAAAGAAAAAGGTCTTGCCCCTCAATCAAAACATTGGTGTATGAGTATACATTTAGTCATTTTAAGGTTAAATAAGTAGTGCAACACATATGTAAGATATATTGATTTGCACATCTCTTGACCAGATTTGTGATTCGCCATTAGCCTTGACAGCATCAGATGACATGGCTTTTTAAATATTGCACAGAAATTAAACATAAACTAAATGAGTTGTAGGACATTTAAAAACCGTTTTAATGTCCACGGTTGACAAAACTCCTTAAATGGTCCATGGTGTGGAAAATATTTGGTTACCCTCTATTAGGGCTACCATGCGGTGGTTTTGCCTTATGAAGGTCTGTTTCTGATATATTAAAGATGATTTGGCCACCACAGGCAAGACTCAGATATCCTGGCAGCATTCCTTTCCTTCTGATCCAACGGTCAGGTTTTTGGAGTCATTTCCATTTTCTCTTTTCTTCTCCCCAGGAGCAGTGGTAAGTTGGAAGAGAATACGCCGAAACAGCCTGAAGAGATTAATGAAGGCTCACTGCCCTCCGCCCTCTGCCCACGACGCTCCTGCTCCCACAGGAGGCAAAGCAAGGATGGAACAGTGCTGTTCAGGGTGAGGGGCTTACCTTGGCATCTGCTTTCTAAGTAAGCATGTGGAATGTATAGTTTGTTTTTGTTAAATAAAAATTACTGTCAAGCTAAGCTTGTGGTAGAAGTTCCAAATAGTACAGAAGAGTAAGCTCATGTAACACCAGTGTGGCCCTGGACAAGACACAAGCCTCGCTCATCCTCTTTCTTTTCAGGCACTAAATAGGATAATGAAACTGATTTATAAAGCTGCTCTGAGGGTATGGGACGATCTGTGTAGGATGCTGACTATTATTACCATACTTTATAGTAAGATAGGCACTATTTTTATAGCCTTGACTAAAGAATAATTTTCTCTTCATTTAAAAAAGATTCATTCATTTATTTGAGAATCAGTCACACAGGGAGAATGAGAGTCACAAAGAGGTGTCCATCTGTGATTTCACTCCCCGCATAATTACAGGGTTGGGAAGCCTGTAGCCAGAAGCCAGAAGCTTCATCTGAATCTCCTACATGAGTGGCAGGGGCAAAAACTGTTGGACCATCTTCTACTGCTTTTTGAGGTGTATTAGTAGGGAGTTGGGTTAGAAGTGGAACATTTGGGGCCCAGCAGTGTGGCCTAGCGGCTAAAGTCCTCACCTTGGATGCGCCGGGATCCCATATGGGCACCTGTTCTAATCCCAGCAGCTCCACTTCCCATCTAGCTCCTTGCTTCTGGCCTGGGAAAGCAGTCGAGGACGGCCCAAAGCCTTGGGACCCTGCACCAATGTGGGAGACCTGGAGGAAGTTCCTGGCTCCTGGCTCCAGATCGGCATAGCACCAGCCGTTGTGCTCACTTGGGGAGTGAATCATTGGATGGAAGATCTTCCTCTCCTCCTCTCTGTATCTCTGACTTTGTAATAAAAATAAAATAAAAATAAATCTTTTTTTAAAAAAAAGAAGTGGAACATTTGGGACATAAACTGGTACCCATATTGGATGCTGACATGGCAGGTGACCACTAAACCTGCTCGGTGACAACGCTGGCCCCAGAGTAATTTTCTATGCTTCAAGATTCTATTTAATTAATTAATTAATAATTCAAATTTCCAGCAAGTTGAAAATATCAAGAGGGATATACACAAGAATGGCGAAGGTTAAAAAAGGACTATGTGTCTTGGGCTTAGGGCCCTGGATAAGCAGATTCAGATTATGACAGGTTAGAGAACAACTTAGAATTTTCTGTGGGTTTCTATCTCCTTTACTCACATGGGTGGTGAGAAAGGCACAGGAACCAGCCACTTGTCCCAAATGATGGTGGGACTGGAGGCAATGTCTGCCTTTGTGTCCTGGCAGTAGTTGCACGCGCGCGCGCACACACACACACACACACACACACACACACACATACACACAGCCTCCAATCTACTTGCACACATGCACGTAGCCTTGTCCTTGTTACTTGTATAGATTTACAGACAAAAGTGGCCCAGAGCCAAACCGTTACCTAGCAGACCTGTGGGCAGCAAGCCAAGCAGGTAGGACTGTCAGCATGCTATCAGTTGCCATTGAGAGACAGAACACAGGGGCAAAGATACCGTTACTGTGCCAAGTTCATCTCCCCCAACAGGGACTCGCGCACTCAGTCCATTGACTGAATCAAATTGAATGGTAAATGAGTGATGGCACAGTCAGATGTCATTTTTGTTACACAATGATACTGGAGACTACAATGGAAGGAGCAGTCCTATCATCAGTTACACTGACAGTGTCTTAGGTGGCTACCTGAGACCTCACGCTGGCAACTTGGATTTCCTTTAGGAATGTTCACGGTGCTCCCACCCCACTGCCCCAGCCAACCGTCTGGGTTGACTGTACCCTTAAATAGCCAGTAACTCAGTTTCCTGTCTCCTTTTCAGTTTCACAGGTCTTGGACATCTTTTAACGAGTTTTTGCAAATGTTTCTATGCTGAGGATATGAAAGCTTTGTTTCTACAGCATCTTCCATATGGATGGCAAAGTGGGTCTTTTAAGATACACAACTGATTGAGAGGCTCCTGAATTTTTTTTTAATTTATATTTTTCATGATACGGTTGCATAAGTTCAGAGATTTCCCCTTCCACAATTACCTCCACTCCCACCATTTGTATCCCCCCCCCTTTAAAAGATTTGATTGGAAAGGCGGATATACAGAGAGGAGGAGAGACAGAGAAGATCTTCCGTCCAATGGTTCACTCCCCAAGTAGCCATAATGGCTGAAGCTGAGCCAGTCCGAAGCCAGGAGCCAGAAGCTCTTCCGGGTCTCCCACGCAGGTGCAGGGTCCCAAGGCTTTGGGCCGTCCTTAACTTCTTTCCCAGGCCACAAGCAGGGAGCTGGATGGGAAGCGGGGCCGCCGGGATTAGAACTGGCGACCATATGGGATCCTGGCACGTGCAAGGCAAGGACTTAAACCACCACCCTTTCGTGCCAGGCCCTGTCCCCACCCTTATTTTTACAACAGTATAGTCCTTCAGCAGTACTCACAAGTCCGTCATTTAAGTGTTTCATGACATTGTAAACATAAACATGGCAGAGTCCAGCATCCTATTGTTTTCATCAACACCTGTAGCTTATATCCCCATTTCCTAGCACAGCATCCTAGCTTATTACAGCAGTTAACATATGTAGAGAGCTGGAAGAGTTCCTGACACCCTCGGTATGGTCTCCCACCCCCGCCCCTTTGTAGAGAGGACTGGCTGCTCCTGTCTACGTGAGGCACTCTTACTCTTCTTTTTAATCTCATCTTTCCCAGCGATTCACAACTTGATTGCATTCACCAGATGGTCAATTTCCCTCAATTCCATGCAATCACGGAACATCGTGCAGCTTCTCCAGTTGCAACCAATCAACCTGGATTAAATCTGCACTCCCTCTCCAGTTGGTGCGGTTTTAGCAGATAAGGACTCTATCTCAGTTATTCCAAGCACCTGACTAAATGCCTGCTGGGACAAAGATCTCAGTACTTAGCGAGGTTTTTAACAAATGGCAAGTGTAAGCCAACTACAGCTAGTCAAGATGCATTGCTGGATGGGATGCAGCAGAGCTTATCTGGTGAGGAGACCCTGGGTTTCTGATATCTTGTTGCCACAGGAAGCGCTGTGATGAGCGTCATCTGTGTGCCTCCTTTTCTACTCGGAGGCCCAGTGGGGAGAATTGTATTCTACTTTCTGTACATTTTCCACTGCGATGGTCGGTGGTGACCACCTGAAGGTCTGCTAGTTAACCGGAGCGGCTCTCGGTACCCGTGCGTTCCGGAGCTGCCCGGCGCCGCCGGCTCGCCCCGCCCCGGCCCGCGCGTCACGTGCGCGTGGGTACCAACTCGCCGCAGCCGCTGCCTCCGCCCGCGCCGCCTCCTCGGCCTCCGCATCGCTGCGAGGCTGTGCGCGCAGACGGCGCGAGGGGGAGCGAGCGAGCGCCCGCCGCCGCCCGGAGCCCCGCAATATGCCGCCGCGGCCCTCTGGCTCTCGGCCATGGCGAGGTTCTGCCGGCGCGTCCCCTGCACCCTGCTCCTCGGCCTGGCCGCGGTGCTGCTGAAGGCCAGGCTGGTGCCCGCGGTCGCCAGAGCCGAACTCAGCCGCTCCGATCTCAGTCTCATCCAGCAGCAGCAGCAGCAGCAGCAGCAGCAGCAGAGGCAGCGGGAGGAGGCAGAGGAGGAGAGGCCAGAGGTGCCAGCGGCATCCTCTACCTTGACTGTTCCAGGTAAGTCTCGGCAGGCGAGCCCTGCCTTTTCATCTGGGGCAGCGGTTTCATCTGGCCTCGCTCGCTTCCGCGTCGTTCCTTAGGTTGCTTTGACCCCTCTTCATCTTTATCCGCATCCCTCCTTCTGCCCCGACTGACCACCCGGCCTTAGGTCCTTTGCTCTGCTGTCGGGAAGCTGTCCTCCGCGGGGGGACGAGTGTTCTGGGAAGCGCCGGCCCTGCAGTGGATTGGAGAGGGGTTGGTAAGAGCCGGGGGTGGGCGACTGCCTCTATAGAGCTTCTCCCTGATTGCTTCCCTTTGCCCCGAAAAAGACAGACTCACAGACGCACTTCTCAAATCTCTGTAGTATTTTGTTCTTTATTCTTGTCGTTTACAAAGAAATCTTGACATCTTAGACACCCATATACCCATTTCACCATTTCTCACTGCCTACTGGATTTAAATTCAGACCCGGAGAAAGAAATCTTTGATTTATTTCTCTCTTTATTCCAGAGAAGCTTTAAGGTATTTTGAATAACAAAAGCGAGGGGGAAAAAAGCGATCCGTAACAAGATGCAGGAGTTTGTAATTGAAGGGGAAAGGAGCGAGGGACAGATGGGGGTAGAGTGTGCTGGGAAGGTGGCCTGTCTCCCGAGAGGGAGAGCGCTTGTTGGAGGCAGAGCTGACAATGTTCAGCTGCGGGTGGAAACCAGTCGCTGGGTTGTAAGTGGCTAAGGGCACCCCACTCTCATCAGGCCTCACTGGTTAGTAGTAGCTGGACAATCTCTTTAAGGAGCGTCTTCCGCCCCTTCCTCAGCACCCTTTTTGCTGTAGATGTTACCTGCTGTTTGGGAAGAAGAAAACAAAACCCAAGAGTTTTTTGGCAATCGAGTTCTGTTTTGCAAAAACAAGGGTGAACTTTATTGTAACGTTAGTTTTTACTTTAAAAGGCCTGCTCAGTAATATTCTGCAAGGTGCTGGAGATTGGGAAAGAGTGGAATCAGCATCTTGTTTTGTATTGCTTGCTCATCATCAAAGAGCAGTGCTCCAGTGTGCCAGCTGCGATTCATGACACAGCCAGGATGATTTAATTTATTAGAGTGCTCTGAGCGTGGGGTGAAATCAGCCAGTGATCAGGAAAGCATGCGTTTCAAATACCGTCTCAAACCAATTAATAGCACAAGTACGGCTAAAAGTCCTGAAAGGTATGAAGTGTGTGCTGGTTTTTCTACACGGCTTTTAATACAGCAGCATGATTCGGATGAGGCTATGGTTTGGACATGCTCTTCACTGAATTTAAGGAACCTACAGCTCGAGTGATTGTGTTCGGCTACACAACTGATGCCTGGCAGAGTATTGTTGGATTGTCTTGCAATACATGTTCAGTTTAGCTTTCAGAAATCTTAAATGGGTTTTCACTACTAAGATTTATGTGTTGTAATAAGGATTGTAACTTCAGTGATATTAGCCCTTTTGCATTTGCATTTAGTGTTTTCTGAGACTTGTGAAGGAATACTTTAGAAAGTATGATTATTTTGGCAATTGGAAGTTTTTTTTATTAACCTGTTAGAGTAATGACACGAAGGTACTACAGATGGTCAAACTAGACCCTGAAAAGCATCAAGATTCTTGCTTACTAAATCTAGTTTCTCAAGCCAGTGACAAACAGGAGGGTAATTCAGTTGACTTATATTTTAATTATTGAAATATTCACTCATATAATGAAATTAGAGTAAACAATGCAAGTTAAAACTTATCCCTGGATGCATTGTCATCCTGTAAGATTGAACTGGTCTTTCTGTTTCATCCCTTTGTTCTACTACTGGTTTCTCGCCCAGCTAGCAATCTGTAAACCACACATTATACAGCGTCATTTTCTGCTCTATCCTCCAGTGGCTCCCCATCTCTCACACTGGATGCTGCACCCTGAAAATGAGTGTATAAGTCATTTGTATCGCACCTCTCCCTTCCATCTTCTGTAGCCCTTGCCCTAACTTACTGCAGCTGCTCTGCCGTCAGATACAGGACCATTGCACTTGCCACTTTTGTGGCTGGAATTCTGAAACTCCACACTCTTCAGGCTTGTTGACAGAGTGAATGAGGGACTTTCTCTGACCAAGTGTATTACATAGTAGTCTCTATATAGGTCTCCATTTCTCCCAGTTTATACTCCTCCAAGCTACTTCTTAACTTCAACCCTTTGGATAAGCCTGTCTCCTTGTACTGAACTGTAAGCTCTCAGTGGGCACAGATGTGGTTTGCTCCCTGCCTTTTCTCTTAACCACTACAAGAACATCTGGTATAAGTGGGCACGCAACCATTTACTGGATGGTTGAATGAATGAGTGCATGATGGAGTATGCTAGTACCAAAGATCGCTTTCTGGGCATTTATTGCTTAGTATCTTCTCATTTTTTTTTCCTTGGAATTTAGCAGGAAATGTACACAAATAGATGTTAGTAGAAAGATTTCTACGTACAGACTTGGAATTTGTACATTTTGGAGCTTTTACTTAATTTCAGTGTTTATCTTATGTTGACTCTAGACAATAGGCTGTTACCAATATTTGAGTTCGCTACTAGATTCTATCAAGACAGTCTTGACCTGACTGCATTTACCATCATTTTCTGAACTTGAGAGAGTATTTTAAATTGCTGAGAAATCAGACGTTTAAAAGCTTTGAAGAATATATTTTTTTAAAAAATCAAGATTCCAGAAAACACATTTTCATTTTTTAAATTAGCATATAAGAAACACTGGTTTGGAGAATAGGCAGAACAAAGGCTAAGGTTTGGCTCTGTCAAGAAAATTGTTTTCCCCAGTGGATAGAGTTGTAATTTCTCCATCTGTAGCAGTATTTGCTTGTAGCAAATACTCGAGGGTCCAGAGGGGAATTGATTTGGGATCTGGTGGTTGTTGAGACAACCATATCATGTTTTCCCCCATGATTCCTTAGATAGGAGTTATGCTGGGGTGGGGATGAGGGGAGCTGGAGAAGATAATGAGCCCACTTAAAATTCACCATGTGGAGCACAGTCATGGGATTTCTGTGGCTGTTTAGAAACTTCTTTTGCATAGAGAAAGCTTACTGGTATATTTTAGTGACACGTATTGCTCAGCTTATCTTGGAAAATGTCACCTATATGGAAAGTGAGCACAATACGTAACAGCAACCTGTGCTCCTCACCCAGCTGGAAATACAACCCCAATTCTGCCATTATTCTCCATAGTTCTGTACTACATGGAATATTGTTGTTACAGTTGTGATTCTGAGGTGAACTTTACAGGATGTGGAATTTGTGGACCTTAACCACACTGTTTTGACAAATGTGTACGTTGGTGAAGCTGCCCCCCTGTATCAAGATTCAGCACATTCAAAGCTCTTCATTTCCCTCACTCCACTCTCTCAGGCAGCTGTCCCTCAGCTGGAGAGCGCTGCCTTTCTGATAGCTTTCATTATGAATTGACTTCGCATTTTCTGGAACTTCACAAAACGGAATTCTGTAGTATGTACTTTTGTGTCTGGCTTCTTTATCTCAGAATAATTTCCAGAATTTCACTCATGTTATGGCATGCTTGGTTTGTTCTGTTTTAGTAGACTTGTATGAATTATTACATTTAAGCTTATTGCTTCTCCTGTTAGTATATGGGTTGTTTCTAGTTTTAGTTACAGTAAACAAGGCTGTTGCATTCTTGATGTTTGTGTGGACATGCTTTCTTATGTCTCGGATAAAGAACTGAAAAGTGAGGTATCTGGGCCAAAAGATACAGTGTAAAACCAAACCAAACCAAAGTGATTCATTTCTTTGGAAGAATTAGAGAGGGGCAGGATGAGGAAGAGATTGATTCCATCCATCCACTAACTCAATACCCCGGTGGCTGCACAGCCAGGCTGAAGCCAAAATTTTTATCCAGGTTTCCCATATAAGTGATAGGGGTCCAGACACTTGAGCCAAAGGCTGCTGATTTTCTAGTTTTAATAGCAGAGAGCTGGGTTGGAAGTGCATCACCCAGGATGTGAAATGATGCCTTTTTGATTTGCTGGTGTTTCAGGGGATAGCTTTACCTTCTATGCCACAAGATCAGCCTCAACTTATACTTTTAAAAAAAATATTTATTTTTATTTGAAAGGGAGACTAACAGAAAGAAGGAGAGAGAGGGAGAGAAGATTTTCCATTCACTGGTTCATTCCCAGTGGTTGCAACAGCTACTTTCCCAGGCCATGTGAGAGCTGGATTGGAAGTAGAGCAGCTGGAACATGAACTGACACCCATAGGGATAATGTCACCACATGATGGAGGATTAGCCTGTTGAGCCATGGTGCGAGCCCCAAATTATACTTTTGAAATGAATAAAAATGTTATTTTTTTCCACATTCTTTGTTGTTGATGCCTACTTTGCTTAAAGTTAATTAAAATTATTAGAGTTGATAGAGTATTACTACTATATGCTTCCAAATTAACTTGATTTAAAATTATTTAAAAAATTTTTATTTTGGTAATCTTACATAGTTGATTAGGGCACAAAGGGTCAATGGTTACAGGAAAGTGGGTAAGACCCTAGTTTCCATATTAATATCATTTCCTTTTTTTCTGTATCTGGGGTCAGGGGAGAAATAAAGGGAGAAGCCCTGCCCAGCCTCCCACCCATCCCAGGTCCTCAATGTGGGGCATGCTCTGAGGGTCTTGCTCAAACAGTTTTGATAATTCAACAGTTCTGAACTGCTGCCAATCTCATCCATTTCAATCTCAATGTACTCTATTCAGAATCCACTGGCTGTCTCTTCATGGTTGGGGTTCTGAGTTCAGCAGTTCAGTTAGAGGGATCTCGAAAGAAACTTCTTCTGAGGTGATCCCAGAGCTGAATCTTGTGTGTGCTTGCCAGTACAGGGTCTGGCACAGTCTGTCGCCCCACTCAGCTTATGCATATGCTGGTGGTTGCAATTGCTGGGTCAGTTCTGTTTCCAGCCCTGTCTTCCATGCGAACCGATGGTGTTACAGCCCAGCCCGATCCTGCCCACTT